TTATATAAGAATGAAAAAAAGATGTAGGTGTAAGGCAAAATCTTACTGGAACTATTATTTTTAGCAATTTATGATTTATTTTTTTATTTATGACTTTATCCATTTTCAATGATACCGATATTTTTAATTATTATTATCCAAATTATACTCATGCCTATATAAATTAATTTGATTGTGGCTATTTCTATGCTTAATTATTTTATTTACTTGCCATAGCTATGCACAGCATTTAATAAATTAATGATAATAATTAATAACACAACATTCTAAGTGCATAAAATATAATAAATTAAAAGTACAATTTTTACAAACCTCATTGGTTATGGTGATGGGGATTCTTTAAAACTGAATGATCATGATCTAACAAGTCATGGATTGATGAATCACTGAAATCACACATTATCTTTAATAAATTTAATAACAACATGTACTTCAATTTAAGAATGAGGAATATTTTGTAAAACATTAAATGAAAAAAAATTTAGTTTGAATCACTCATAATTAATAAATTTTAATTAAATTGCAAGTTAGCTTGGGGAGTTTGAAGCTTGAATTGAACAAATTACAAAAGTGTTTATTTTATAAAAATGATTGATAAGTTGTTTAATATATTTATTTAATTTTGTATATTTTTTATTCCCAGACATAAGCATTGTAAATAAAAATTTTAAAACCAATCAAGCAATAGAATTTAGGATCTTAGGAACAAGTGCTGTTAGTCGTTAGTGTAGTAGTAGTATGTAGTAGTGTATTCTAATTATATGGTACGAACCATGAATATATAATATACTCATGATATGAACATGACATATTGTTACAACCGCTGCAGTGGTCAAATTGCGCTATACTATTTATTATCTTAATTATTCGTTATCTTTGTTATATCTGCTACATTAGTGTTCTTCAGATTTTAAGAATCCTTTGTAAATAAGGAGGTAAAGTAGCGAAGTCAGAAGCGATGTTTGAAAGGCTTCAGGAGAGGTTTGAAGCGAAATTATAACTGTGATTTATGTAGTTACTTGGATTAGTTTAGTGTTTCTAATACTGTTGGCATTCAAATAAACGTTCAACAAAGTTGGTGTTTGGAGCAGTTGTGTTCATCTATCCGATCGGAAATCTTGAACCTGCTGGATAACGATAACTTGACGATTGTTGAAAAAATACCGTAATTTGTGAACATATAATCATATATAGATAATGATCGTAAACATTTAACTGCGGGGTCAAATCAATTGAATGCAAACATTTTTTTGCATACCTCGAAATATTAGAACATATTGTGCAATATAGTATGTGATACTTTATAAAAAATTATTTGTTTTTATATGGTTAATTAACACGTTTATCGTGGTATATATATATATATATTTTTATGTATCGTATGTTTATGTCTGTGTGTTTGTCACTGTTTAACATCTAAATAATTTGAAGCGCATACTCTAGCCCTCGGATTTTTGTTTTACCAAAATTAACAACTACATTCAAAGTATTACAACAAAGTTTAACCCTAAATATGTCATTGAAGACAATGTTTATTTTTGAGAGTTTTGTCAACAAATGCATATAAGCAGTGTTTTTATTTTACAATAGTCAGGTCATGCATGTTTCAGCCAACAATGTATGCATCTAGTTAGTTATTTAAAACTGGTTTGCTATATATTCTTTCGTTCGTTCGTTCGTTGGTTCATTCATTCATCTATTCGTTCATTAATTCATTCATTAATTCATGATTCATTCATTCATCTATTTATTTATTACAATTGAGTGTGTATCGGGCGTTTTTTCAAAGTCTAACGAAAATGCCAAATAAGATTTTCAAAAATCTTCTGCAGGAAAAAACATTCAATCTTCTACAAAACTCCGAAAAAAGATGGTCAGGTTATTTTGGCGAACAGTTCCGTACAGTCGATCCAGCCAATGTTTTTCGGCCTTACATTCTGTTACAGAGAAACTACTATACTCTCAGAACGTAATCTGGTTCGTTCCTTTGCTGCACATCTCGGGACAATTTTCCCTTGGTGATATTTTGAGATACATCATTGTTAACAGATTTGAACACTATGACAGCTGTTTCGGACAGTACTTTTCGTTTATTGTGAGCCGATGTAGACCACATAAAAGTGGAATGACATGTTCATATATGTACAATGTTTGCAGCTTATATTAAATGGATATATATTATATATAATTAAATATAATTATTTATTAATTTATATATATTTATGTGTGTATGATTGAGTGTACGTATATCACACCCACACATTTCCATACATTAGTTGTACGTTGATAAAAACATATATAACTATAATGGGCGTCATATTAAAATATAGAAACACTAGTTTTTTGGTTCATATTTCTTCATATGTCATGTGCATCATACAAACTTCTGTACAGCAGAGTTGCAGTATTTGCTGGATGTATGTGCACATATTTAAACCGAACATCCTTCGAAAACCACGACATATGTTCCGCTGTCTCCGATCTGAATTTCAACTTCGTTTGCTACTTGAATTTTTTCACCGCTGCAATAATCTTACGATTCTCTTCGATCTATATCACCACAATTAAAATACATGAACAATAAAAAAAAATAAAATAACTAACAGTTGGTTGATTTGTTTTATTTTATGAAAATATAAAATAGGAAAATATGTTTGTATCATATTTATGAAGTTGTGCTTTGATTGCTCACAAATTGCAAATGAAGTGTGGAAAGTTGCAGGTTGCTTTGGCCAGGAGAAAGTCAATAAGACAAACTTTATCTATTGAAACAAATCTTAAGAAATGCCTCTCTACCTTCGATCTCATTTCATTGGGTTAATATTAAAATCTGTGTACGTTAATAATTTAAATTGCTCAAATTTATTATTTTGGTATTTAAAAACTAAAAAAAATTAATTAACACCTTTTCCATGAAAAAATAAATGAATGATACTTATATAATATACATTTACAATAATATATATTTACAAATTCATGTAATTTATGCTTCATAAATCTGTTGCCAGTTGTTTGAGTTCGTTAAAAGCTGATGAATTTGATGCTTTAAATTTTATTGTGGAAATTATACATAAACTAAAATGTTTATAGATGTCGTAAAAAAAGACAAATAATGTCATAAACAACCATGGATATGTATACCCATATTTATATCCATGTAAGTAAACAACAGATAGCAATTTTTAAAACTTATTATAGCCTACTGGTATGAGACATATGTACGGTCTTTTCTTTCCGAGAACATAAAATTTTACAATTTTTTCTTACATGTCGCGTTGTTAGGTGTTCTTTCAACGTGCGGATCTGTTTCGTATATGAACTTGTTTGTCTCCATTAATTTTCTCCGCCAACAATGGTTCAAGTTTTGGATGTGTTATTCTACTTAGCTTCTAATAAAACTCTAACAAAATGATTCATCTCTGATTTGTTTCAGTGTCACTTTTCATCACTACATATTTTTATCAAAAAATTCAAATTTACTTTTTCAGTTTTTTCTCATAAGAAGGGCTTTAACTAAACTGTTGTCCAACATTCTGAAAAATCCATTTTTTCTTTCTCTAACCGTTGTTATATACTTTTTTGCTTTTTCCAGCTGGTTGGCCAGGTTTCTCCAAATTTTTCCCAACCATCTTCCGTAGCACTCCATTTCAAATGCTTTCATTTTGACGTTGTCACTTCTCTTTAATGTCCAAGTTTTATATGCACGTAGCAATGTAGAGGGCAACAATTCTATTCTTTAATTTAATTTTGACAGGTATGTTACCATTTAAAAAAAAATTCAGCGGAGCAAACAATTTCATATGCAGTAGCTATTATATCTTTCGCCAAATTTTGTAGCAAATGTTCTCGTTGGTTATAAAAATGTTTGAGTACACAAATTATTTGATTTTTTTATGATTTTGTTTTTTAATTCTGTACCCACTGTATGAATTTTTTTTAATTATTTGTTTTGTTTTATCTTTGTTCATGTCTTTTTCATACTGCCATCCCATCATACATCATCCCAAAAACATTGATCCAATTGTTGTTTGAATACATGAATATGTATTAAAAATGATTTTATGCTGTGAATTTTTTTTTGCTTTCCTACAACCAGAGCGATACAATATATACTCCTACAACAACATTTTTTTAAATATTCAATATTTTTGCTCAACTACAATTTGCGATAAAAACAAATTTCAAATGCCATTGGAATGATATTTTTATTTCTGCCTTTTATTCAAATGAATTTACGAAAAACAAAAGTAGACAGACAAATTAAGAGAACTTTTTAACAATTTTCGCATAAAAAATTATAGTGATGAAGTGTTTTTCTTCCCAACAATTTCCCCTCCGAAAACTGCATATAGTCAAGTGTATACCTACTAACGTTAAAACATACAGGTTGTATGTTTTATGCACAAGGTTATAAAACTTTTCATTATAAAAAAATATCGGTAAGTTAGGTTTAAAGTTGTTATATTGTTAGAGTTATTTTATGAAAATCGCTTTAGATATACAATGAAAAAAATGTTAGTCTTGCCTAGAAAGTTGCGTTACAGAAAAAATTAGAACAAAAATTATTCAATATGTAGATCATGAGAGGTAAGGTAAAATTTTGCATTCTTTTCTGATAAATCCGAATACATTCGGTACGATTTACAAATTGCACGATGCACATTCTGCTTTTAATTAAAATAATTTTACATAATAATTTTTTACACACGCATTACTTGAGATTTCGACATAAAAACTACTTTTGAAACAGCGAAAACAAACATGTAAAAAATATTTTTAAATGTTTTCAGTGCATTTTTTCAATAATTTTCGATATAAAGAGATTTTTTGGTTTAAAACGTATTTTCAGACTAAACAGGTTTTTTGAAAAAAAATGTTACAAAACCGTTACAAAACTTCAAGTTTAACCAGTTCAAGAGTAAATTTAGTTATTTTTCAAGTTTTGACCGATGATTATTATTTATAAGCTTTTTCACGGGGCGTCGACATTTTATTGCGAGATAATATTATTTCAGAGGATCAGGTTTTCAATGGGCTGTTTGGTTAATTGTATGAAATTTTCAAAATGTTTGAAACATTTCAATCGATAAACAGTTTGATGATTTTTAAGCTTTTTAAAAAATGTGTGTAATTTTGTGATGAAACAAATTTTAGTCTAAAAAAATGAAAAATTTCAAGCTACACCCCCGCTCAGGTGCATCAAAAATTTTGATGCACCGATACATAAGCGCGCACGCCACAGCCACATCTAATCACGGTGACCTAGTACTTCGAAATGATTCGTTTCATTTTTAAAAAATCAGATTTTCCGTTTCAGCTTCATAAAAATAGAATGGGTTGCCTGCTGATTTAAAACATTACGGCATCGTAAATTGCAGTGACTTCGTAAAACGTCTCGAGGAGATTCAATTATACAAGTTAATACATAAACTAAAATGTTTAAAAGTGTCGTTAAAAAACGAATAATTTAATAAATATCGGATTGCAACTTTTAAAATTTTTCAGCCTATTTGTATGTGGTGTATCTGATTCAACTATCCAAAATGAAATCAACTCCCAGCAGACATGTATGAAGCTAGCAATGCAATATATAATATATATATAATAAATATAAATATATAAAAATATATGTAATGTTTAAGTGACGTAAATTAAGAACAAAATTATTTCAAAACAACCAATTGAGAGCTGTAATAAACGATCAACAGTTTACAACGCATGCATGTATTTTGATATTAACAACAACTCGAGCGTAACACCTGTTACACCAATTGGTTTCTTACAAGCAAATATTTTTAAATTAACTCAAGCTATACAATTTTTAACGTTCCCGTTTGGTTTTCTTTTTGTATTATTTGAACACTTATTTTGCGAAAGTGTAGCATTTTATATTCTTATGAAAACATTTTCTAGAAAACTCTGCTAAAAGCAGAAAATAGGCAATACAATGATGTCCTTACTTACTGCTATCAAATTGTGTCATTCGAACTGAAGACTTCCTAAACATTTAAAATGACATTGGTTTTTATGTTTAAATTTTAATTTTAAAATAAAGCTTTATGGATCATATATATTTGTACAATCGGACCTCCGTATAATGAATTTGATGGTTCCAGGAAAAAAAATACGTTATATAGAAATTTCATTATACAGAATTTGTTCGAGAAAAAATTCTGTATTGCCTAAAAAGTGTTTATATGCTATATATTTAGGAAAAACAACTTTTCAATCATTTATTTTGATAATAGAAATAAATAATACATGGTATAATTGTAGAAAATAAAATTTTAAAAGTGAAATTTATTCATGGTTCCATGCAACGATGATTTCAATTTCATTGAAATTATTTGACGTAGAATTCGCAAAAATTACTAAAATACTAGACCAAGAAAAAAATATGGATCTAAGATAATAAAAAGGAATACAAAAACACTGCCCGGATCAATTTATAAATTGTTTACTGGTCGGATATTTTTTTAACTTTTATAAATTTTGTTTGTTATAGAGAAATTATTTTTGTTATATAAAAGCAGTTATATACGTAAAATTCGAAAGGAAATAAAAACATTCGTTATATAAAGATTTTCGTTGTATAGAAGTTCGTTATAAGGAGGTCCGACTGTATTTTCCATCCTGTATTTTTTATCAATTTCCGATCGTCAGCTAGAAAATTATGATAAACCAAAGTGTTTGTAATAGTATGAATAATTCAAAAATTGAAAAACTGAATTTTGAAGGGATCGGATGTACTTTGGGATGCGGCATATATGTGGTGACTGGTGAGGTTATCAGGAACATCACTGGACCATCGGTCGTTCTGAGTTTTCTTATTGCGGCTTTTGCTTCTATGCTGGCAGGTTTTTATTATTTTTTTACGTCAACCATTCTTTAGATGGTTTTATACAAACGGTAATTGAATTATACAAGCTACACAATGGGTGAATATTAAAACGGATCAAACACACATTTTAAAACCAGCATTCAGTTATGCCGAGTTTGGAGCCCGTGTTCCGAGAGCAGGATCTGCCTACATTTACAGTTACGTGACAGTCGGAGAAGGATGGGCGTTTGTAATCGGCTGGAACTTGATACTGGAATATGTTATCGGTTCGTTTATGCTTTTGTAACAATAAGTTGAAACAAAGTTTTTACTATCTACAATATGATCATTATAAATTAGTTTGCTGATAACTTAACTTGTAAATACTTACTATAACTTTGTGCTGTTTTTTACAAAACAGTTCGTTGGGTACAAATTTTGAAAATATTGTTTTAATAGCAGTGAACAAGCGTTAGAACTTCTAACAAACGTCTGCATAGGAAATGAACATAAATTAAATTCGATCTGTTTTTTATTTCTAGGAGCGGCAAGCACCGCAAAAGCCATAAGTACGTATTTGGATTCGTTGATGGGCAAGAAGATAAGCACGGCCATGGTGTCAGTTATGCCCCTCAACACTCACTCGCTCTCTCCATACCCTGATTTCGTCGCGTTTGGTTTTGTTGCGTTGCTGACAGGTCAGTAATGAAAAATAGGAAGGTTCCTGTTTAGTTTTGTCTGGTATCCGTTATTATTTCGATTAACGTCAAAATCGTAATCAAACATGAGTGCGTGTTAAAATTATTTCATCCACCTTTATTTATTATTTTTTTTCAAAAGAAACATAAAACACAAAGATTGTAGATTTGTATTTTATTTTTATTGATTTGGTCGTACTTGGGGACCTCGAACAAATCATAAAACGAGCCAAGCAAAGTTGAACTGTATGCCCAAATAAGTCATTAAATAGAAAATAGTTTATGCATAAGTTATAATCCTAGTTTAATTGGTTAATAAGATGATCTTAACCATCACGCCTATTAAAAATATGAAATAAATAATTTTGACGCAGTCATTGTTTGCATCGGAATACACGAATCGTCATTTCTGAACAACATCTTTACCCTCATAAACATTTCTATTCTCGTGTTTGTCATTTTCTTTGGAGCATTCCAGATAGATACTTCCAACTGGAGCATACCGACTGAAAAGGTTCGTGATGTTTCTATATGCCTAGCATCTAAAAGCTATCAACCATCAGATTGTAAACAAATCAGTCCTTACTTTAGAAGTGTGAAAAATTAAATATTTACTTTGAAAAAACATCAGTAAAATTTTTTTTATAAAAATTTGTTATTTTTTCATTTTAATAAAACTGCACTGCAGTTTTACGAAAAATCAAAAAATGTCAACATCGAATTTGAACATAAAACAAGTTTGATGATCAAGCTTGTACATTTCTTACAAAAATTTTAAATTGTTATTCTAAAGTTGACAACGCAAACACAAAAAGTCTCAATAGTTAAGTTGGATTTATCATTTAATTGAAAAATTTTAAATATGAATTTTTTTAAATGCAAGCAAACTTCACAAATTGTTATAAACTGTTTGTTGGAGCTTGATAATAATTTTAATAACATGTTAAAATATTTATGAATAATTTTATTTCTTGTTCAAACGAAAGCATGAAAATAGGAAAATTTAATTCTTTTTACTAAATGTAAAAAAATCTTTTCATCATAAAAATATATAGGAGGTAGCGTTAGGAATGATATCGCAAAATAACCATGAAACACGAGGCAAGCATTTCATCGCCAATGGCATGCATTTTCTTTCGTTATATTCAATTTTCTCATCAGATGTTTACGACTCATTTGAAAAAATCGAGTTTGCACTAATAGATTCGTTTTTTTTTCATCATACGCATCTTATTGAAAAAATTATTATTATTGTTATTTATATAATTGAAATACCTTTATTATGTTTTTCACAATGTCTATACAAATAATGCTATTTATATAAATAACGTAACATTTATAAATAAATATATCAGTGAAGTATTTTATTTTTATACATATTTTGTTTAATTCAATCGAAGTTATATATATATATATATATATATATTTAAGAACGAGGTTTTCAGAAATGCAAATTTCATTGAAATTGTTTGCCCATTTTGCATTAATTAACTTCTTTATAAGACATTCAACGAGGCGGTATTGTTTGAGTTCATATTTATCTAAAACTGGAATAAAGCTAACAGCGCTGTTTCGGCGTAATGCCATCTTCAGAGCCTAAATATTGTTAATTGTTTAATTAAAATAAATGTCTAATGTAAAATGTGAAAATATAGAAAATAAAATATGTATTAAATTGTGAAATAAATTAACCTTGTTGTAAATATCATAATAACTAAAGAAATATATATATATCTAGAAATATATATATATATATATATATATAAAGAAATATATATATTTCATCATATATATATATATATATATATATATATATATATATATATGATGAAAATCACAGTATGTTCCGCGTTAGTTAACTTCCTGTTTAATTTTTCGATTTTTCTAGCGGTAGATCGTAAATTGTCAAGTTTCTTGAGTTCAAATATAACCAAAATATTTATTTATTATAAGCATGATATAATATGATATATCATACACACACACACACACACACACACACATATATATATATATATATATATATATATATATATATATATATATGTTTTTATTTATTTATTTATATAAAGGTACCAAATCCAAAAACAGACGGTACGGGCGGTTTCTTCCCGTTTGGTTACTTGGGCGTCATGGCGGGAGCCAGCATTTGCTTCTATAGCTACATCGGATTTGATGTCATCACTGTCGCTGGTTGGTTGGCTGCGTTTCATTAATGTTGCTGAAACTTATTATCTTTTCATACACCTAATTCATTTAATTTTTTTCATATCCTGAATTCGGATGCTGATACGCGAATAACTTTTTATCTGAGTCTATATTGAATGTGCATTTATTTAATGCATAAAATGCGGGTATTAGTTTGCTAAAAGAACTTTGAAATTATATATTGTTGTCGGATAAACTTTTTTGAAGAAAAAGAGCGAGATAAAAAAATCATTCTAGGTATAATGAATTTTTCAAGTTTTGATGAAGTTGCTTTTTGAAGTTGCAATCGACAGTATTTTTTTTTTTTAGAAATTAAAAAGTTCGTAAAAATAAATAAATCAAAAACAAAAAATAACATAAGTTTTTGAATTCTCCAACTAAACTTTTTCTATTTGGATGTGAATGACAAGTATTTTTCTGATGTCAGTTTATTCTTGTTATTTTTCTAAACGTCAACCTATATAAAGTTTATTGGCCATTGAATAATTCATGACATTATTATTCATGACATTAATATTTATAACATTTATATGGTATCAATTTCGTTCACAAAACATAAAATAATTTCACCCAACCAAACAGCAATAATTGTCGTTACACCGATTGAAAGACATGTGTACATGTAGGTACACTACATGTACACATGCACTCGCGTTATTATTGATTCCTTAGTTTTGAATTAAAACTTTATTATCTGAGGAATAAAATTTTACCCAAATATTAAAAACCTTTATCCACAGATACTTGTTAAATGTTACTAAATAATACTGTTCAAGTTCATCTAGCATGCGTCTGTCTGTGTCTTTACAATTAATATCTACGAAAGTATGTACGAGCGTCAAATTTTTTCCCTTTCCTAATAATCTTTCCCAGCAAGTTTGACTTTTAGTATTCAACCACCAACGGATCGGTTTGTAGCTGAAACTTTTTTTGTCTTCTTTTTTTTTTCAGTCCTCTAACACTGCAAAATTGTCACTAAAAATGTGTTGTGATTTTCTTTTTTTCTATCGTTAGCGGCATGTGTTTGATAGTTCGTGTGCTGTTGTGAATGTATATTTGCATTCAATTTAAAAAAAATTAACAAAATTTTAAGGTTGATGTAAAACATGAACATTTTAAGATGCAAGCAAACAAATGAACTATGCAGGTGAAGAAACTGTCAGTCCTCAAAAATCAATACCAATATCTATCATGGTGTCTCTTCTTGTCTGCTCTACTGCATACGTTTGTGAGTCTTTTCATGTTTATTCATATGATCAATAAATCACAAATAATAACAAAAAATGACTCAAACTTTACTATTTTTTAATAATCGAATAAATAATCATCGTTAATCAATAAGGAAAACGATTGAAATATGACTATTTTGCTAACTGGATAAATAAGTAATCGATCAATCAATTAGTCGATGATCTTCTTTTATTCTTTTGAGAGATCGTTGATATTGTTAATTTTTATATTTCTTTTCGATTTCTAAGATCCTTTTTTATCTGTAGCCAATTTTGTTTAATTGCATTTTTCCACCTTAGCTTATTCTGCAATGTCGTCATCATCTTTCTCATCCATTTTTTAGCAGTGTTTCCATCTAACGTATGCCTGTCATCCCACAATTCTGGCATGTATGCCCGAGGAGTCTTAGTTTTTTGCTTTGATCTTTCTAAAGATTTTTTCTATTTTTAAATTGGTTTATTGTGACTCTGATTCATACTGCTTACGAAGGAGCCAAATAAGATAGTTCAGTTTAAAACCTTAGATCGTTTGATAATTACATGTAACTGAACATCAGAACTAATTCGTTTTTGAAGTGCTCTCTGCGGTGCTGACCATGATGGTTCCTTACTACTCTCTCGATCCGGAGTCTCCGATATCTTCTGCATTTTCCCTCCTTGGATGGAAAGTTCCGGCGATCGTTATTAACATTGGAGCCGTCGTCTGTATTATTTCAAGGTTACCAATTTTTTTTAACTTTTTCATTTACAATCGACCGAAATATTTTTAATTCGTGTAACGTTTCTCATCAATGACATCAGTTTGCTGACATATGTCCTTGCCATGCCCAGAATATTCTACGCCATGGCATCCGATGGCTTGTTATTCAAGTTTCTCGGAAATATTAACCAGAGGTTTAAAACTCCAGTCAATGCAACGCTGGTTTCAGGATTGTTCACAGGTTCACGAAATCATGTTTGCTCTTCAGTTTTGGTGCAATTACTTTTTTTAAATGATTAAATTTGTTGTTGAGAAATATTTTGGGCTAGTTGTAGTCAATATTTTTATGACAATTAAACGAATTAAATAAGTTTAGATACGATGGAGCGTTATAAATTTAAACAAAATGATCTTCAAATTTCATTTTCGATTTTTTTATATTTTATTCAAGTTAATGTTTGTTGTCTCGAAACGACAAAATATTAAATAAATGAAATACACCACAGGGATACTGTCCATGTTTTTTGAACTGATAGACTTAGTTAACATGATGTCCATAGGTACCTTGCTAGCGTACACGCTGGTGAGTATATGCGTTTTGTTGCTCAGATATAAACCAGAAGTTGAACAAAAGGATAATGAAATGAGTAACATAGTTCATGCTGAAGCTGATGAAAAGGACATGGAAATGGAAGTTGCCAACAAGAAAAGTTTCGTTAACAAGTTGAAATGTTTGTGTTTTCTGTCACCAGATTGCAGTTCAGCACCAAATAAAAAGTCGTTTATGATTGTTTCCATCTGTCTGGCACTCATTGGTTCGTTACAGCTTTGATTATTATTTTTGACGCTTCTCGTAATTGTTTCTGATGTGATTCAGTTTGATTCACAAACATCGCATACCGTACTTTTCAATCATATCATAAATTTATAATGAACTTAACGATGAATCATTTTAGTGCTGCTGACTTTGCTGAACACGATGATGGCATACTTGTGGTTCTATGGTTGGATACCCAGTCTGGTAGTCGTCATTTGTTTCGTTGCTTTATTCTTCTTATTGACGGTTTATTGCATCATCATCATAGCAAATCAGCCGAAACATAAACCTGAATTATCTTTTTTGGCAAGTTGATTGAGATAAAATTTATTTTTTCACTTGGTGTGGAAATTTTTTACAATGTTTTTAATCAAATAAAAGTAATTGTGGCGAATAACAGAAACCGTTATTTCATTGACAAGTGTGTGTGCGTATGGATGTTAAAACCAAAACATGATGAATGACACTGAATAGTCAAATATCAAGTAACAAATGGAGGAACATTTTGATCTGTTCTTAGTCGCACACGTCGACATTCAGTTGAATATTCTCCATCGCACAGACACGCAGGAACCTCTGCAACGAGCTGTCACCTGACCTAACAGTAATTAACATACATTTTGTTTTAAGGAATTAAAAAGCGTTCGGGTCTATGGGGCCGAGAACCATCGGCAAAAATTCCATCAAGGGGAGGGCGTTTTCGTATTTTTTCATTTTCACGTCCGCTGCCCTAGTTGCGGCCACACCCCATTCTTTACTTGTAAGATTTACGCAACACTCCGCAAGGGTGCCAGGAACTATAATGTCCCACGCCAAACATCTACCGGCTCTCCAAGGCATTAGGGTACAACCATCTTGGCGCTTACCACTGAAATGCTGGATGGTTCCTTCAAAACTAGAATTGAGGCCTTGGAAAAGAATCGGCTAATGTAGTCGTCTAATGCTGAGTGACGTAGTTGACGGCCCGTACGCACACCCAAACGGCAAACTAAACTCTGCTAACCAAATTCATCCGTCCCGTCATTCATCGGCATTTGTTTTGAATAGCCAGGCGGAGTCTGAAACCAACGGCAAATCTTACAGACTCGTCATCGAGCCTGGTGCACACAAAAGTGTTTGGCCACAATCTCAACCGACCGCAGCTAGAATCACTGGACGTTGATAGCAAACAAGCGGTAGAAGAGTTGTTGCTACATGAAGACAAAAGATTTTTAAAAGTCTTATGTTCTTCTTTCAAAATTTGGACGTGTGTACGGTCCAAAGCAGTAGACACTGGGGGGGGGGGAATATTACAGCAACAGAAAAACCGGTGAGGTAGGGAAAATTGCCGGTCGAAGGGGCAGCGGCAGAAAATATATAAACGATTAGAACCAGCTGAACCACACTAAGCAACCCCAGCCAACCAAATCGTACCGGCAGTTGAGCCTGGGAAAAACCACTGTCAGTCAATTGAATATTGCAAATCGATCATAAAATTTTGCCAATTTAGAAGGATCAATGTGGCTGGATGTACGAAAGAAGGACATCAATTTAGGCAAACTGGGGGAGTTGCGGATATTAGTCAAGGAGTCGTGGGCCGAAAAATAAAAAACACGACCAAAAGCGAATTGTATATATGTATGTTTGTTTGTGTGTAAATTTATGTAAGATTTAACATTTATATAAATGAAGCTTATTAGTCAAAAGATTGTGGTGAAAATTAGTATGGTTAAATGTGCTTTTTGTTACTGATAAATGTAGTAGACATGGCATTGGTACAGTGTTAAATATTCATTATTGCTTGATAAAGGTGCCACTGGTTCCCCTTCTTCCCATCGTCAGCGTCATTGCCAACATTTACCTCATGCTCAACTTGTCCAAAATGACTTGGTTGAGATTTCTTATATGGATGATCATCGGTTATATATTTTTCAATGATTTTTAATATTATAATATTACCAGATTAATGTGTAGTTTGGTTGAATACATACAAGTAAAAATTAAATATTAATACAATTATATTTTTTGTTCAACCATTATTATTTAAAATTTGACACATGAAAAATAGTATTTAAAAACACTAGGAATTTTCATCTACTTTGGATACGGTATGCACCATAGTTCGGAAATCAATGAAACAAAAGAGCTGAAAACCGGCGCGAAAGAAGATTATAACAAACTTGAAGGATTAAATGAGGAAAGTAAAATCGTTCCAAATGAAAGTATTGTTGTCACAGAGTAATTCAACGCTGTCCGTTCTTGTTCTTCATATTCAGAAGTTCAACCAGTCGGGTTTATAATTTAGTCATTGTTGTTTGAATCAATTAGTCACTTGTTCAAAAGTATGTGAAAGTGTATATTATTTAACCAATTTTAAACAAAAAATACATTTTATGTATACGGTTAATGGTTGCAATCCTAGTTAAGAAGACTCCTTTCTTGATAAGAAAACAAAATTTCACACTAATGACTAAATTTTATATTAAAAGACAAGTGTGTGTGTCTGTGTGTGTGTGTTTGTGTGTGTGTGAGGAGTACGTAAGAGAGAAAGAGGGAGAAAAATAGAGAGAGAGACCAAACTGAAATGACTTGAATGACTATGACTCAACTAAAAAACGCCAACATTGAACACAAACTGAAAATAGAAAACCTGGCTTAAAACTGTTATCACAACACAATTTATACAAGTCTATCTATTAATTATTTATAATCGTTAATAATTCATTAATAATTCAATACATTTATTAAATATTATAAATACAAGAACAATGAATTTTGTTATTAAACAATGTTTTATTGGTTAATGATATATTTATGTGTGTGTATGTGTGCATGTATCTGCTTTACAATATATTATGCTTATACTTGAAATGTAATAATTTTCGACAATCTCCCTGTGAACATGAGATTATGGGCCCAATATGGGCTTCATGGGCAAATGATTACCCAAATGGGTGTTTTGTGTATAGAATAGGAAAGCCTATATTGGCTCCACAAAGGCTCAATAAGGGTTGTGTAGGCTTTTGCAACTATATAAAATTCAAAATTTTGTGACATTTTATTATTCCATTGTAATATTTAATAAACATTTTGAATAAAAATTCTAAATATAATGCTTTTTTTCAATAAATAAAATGGACAAGGTTTCTAAAAAATTTATTGGACAACCATGGGTCCCTTATGGGCTATCTGGGCTAGTAGTCAAAAATTAAAATATGCGATGATTCAAAGCTAAATGTTTTTTATATGTTATGGTATACTATGAAATGTTTTAATCTTATGTTTTTATCAACTTAATTGGGTCTATTTTTATGACTGTTCTTTTATTTCTTTTAAATTCTAGGACATCGCTGTTTTTTGCCACGCTTTCCCTTTTCAATACTATTTCTGAAATTTTGGTCGTGTTCCTTTCGTTTTCATCGCGTTAAAGTTAATATATCGGTATTACGAAATTAATAAATTATAATTATATAATTTATCAATTATTTTATTCGATTGTTTTTAACGGTAAATAAGTATGAAACCGCGCTTCCTGTTGTTTACATAGAATAATATTGAAAACTTTAAATTTGGCTCCGCTCGTCATTAATATTCATGACCAACCAATGCGCTTCATTTTATTGTAATTTTATTGTAAATTATTTAACAAATATATTATCTTATATTTTAAAATGTTTATTAATAATTTAGATGCCAAATAAAATAAGGTCATATATATAAATTAAATATAAATAAAATATATTAAAATTAAATATAAAAAAATTTAAATTAAATTTAAATGTAATAGTTAAGCTGTGTAATCTTTTACATGACGTATTTCTGGTCTATGTACGACTTTAGATTTGGACGTCGGGCATACTTTACCTGACTGGTTCAATTTACATCGAGATCTATGCATTGACTGGGCTCGTGATAACCCTGCACGAATAGGTAGCCCCGGACACATCGTTCAGATAGATGAAAGCTGCATTTCATCTGCAAAAAGATCGAGAAACCGAAATGCAAGTCCAGTTATGATTCTGAACTTAGCCACCAGCCACAATGACCGACCTATATATTATGTGCGCGGAGAGATCGTGAAAAAAGAGAGGACCATCTGCTGAATGCACAGCAGATGTTCATATTTGTTACCAATAATTGTATAGATATATAAATCCTTAACTGATCATTGAAATGTATGAAAAGTATGTATTCTATATATTTAAGTAACGCATGTATGAACAATGATTGTATGATGTATTGAACAACATACAAAAATTGACAGTAAGTTGAACATAAAAATCGATTAAAAATATTATTAATTGCGTCCTCAAAAAAAGATTTCTACCACTTATGTAGAATTAAATTACCTTTCTAACAATATATCAGACACTAAAAAAAACAGCCTTCCAGGGTGTTCAAAACCCGAAAAACAAACACACTTCATTGTGCATCAAATTACAAAAATATTTTTTTTTACCATTCATAATTGCGGCCTCAAAAAAAGATTTCAACCACTGATGTAGAATTAAATTACCTTTCTAACAATATATCAGCCACTAAAAAAAACAGCCTTCCAGGGTGTTCAAAACTCGAAAAACTAAAACATTTTCATTGCGCATCGAATCACAAAAATATTTTTTTCACCATTCATAATTGCGGCCTCAAAAAAAGATTTCTACCACTGGTGTAGAATTAAATTACCTTTCTAACAATATATCAGCCACTGAAAAAGACTTCCTTCCAGGGTGTTCAAAACTCGAAAAACTAACACATTTCATTGTGCATCAAATCACAAAAATATTTTTTTTTACCATTCATAATTGCGGCCTCAAAAAAAGATTTCAACCACAGATGTAGAATTAAATTACCTTTCTAACAATATATCAGCCACTAAAAAAACAGCCTTCCAGGGTGTTCAAAACACGAAAAACAAACACACTTCATTGTGCATCAAATCACAAAAAAATTTTTTTTCACCATTCATAATTGCGGCCTCAAAAAAAGATTTCTACCGCTGATGTAGAATTAAATTACCTTTCTAACAATATATCAGTCACTAAAAAGCACAGCCTTCCAGGGTGTTCAAAACTCGAAAAACTAAAACATTTTCATTGCGCATTGAATCACAAAAATATTTTTTTCACCATTCATAATTGCTGCCTCAAAAAAAGATTTCTACCACTGGTGTAGAATTAAATTACCTTTCTAACAATATATCAGCCATTGAAAAAGGCTTCCTTTCAGGGTGTTCAAAACTCGAAAAACTAACACATTTCATTGTGCATCAAATTACAAAAATATTTTTTTTCACTATTCATAATTGCGGCCTCAAAAAAAGATTTCTACCGCTGATGTAGAATTAAATTACCTTTCTAACAATATATCAGCCACTGAAAAAAACAGCCTTCCAGGGTGTTCAAAACTCGAAAAACTAAAACATTTTCATTGCGCATCGAATCACAAAAATATTTTTTTTCACCATTCATAATTGCGGCCTCAAAAAAAGATTTCTACCACTGGTGTAGAATTAAATTACCTTTCTAACAATATATCAGCCACTGAAAAAGACAGCCTTCCAGGGTGTTCAAAACTCGAAAAACAAACACATTTCATTGTGCGTCGTATCACAGCGACTGAAACGGAAAGATATCGCTGGGCAAAATTAAATTTTACTCGCAGACATGGTGGTCGGTACTATTGGTCTGCTATCATCGCTTTTATTTCATTATAAAAATCATTATAACACCTCAACCCTAGATAAGCATTTATTGCTAGGCTGACTCTTTCACTTTATTTTATTGTGAATAAATGGATCAACAAAAAAACTTAAATTACACGTTCCTCTAGCCTGTGTATGCGTGGGTGTGTTTGTGTATGTATTATGTTTGTGTATGTATTGTGTGTGTATTGTATGTGTCAATAATTAACAAAATAACCCAACGATATCTTTTACAATTAATTCAATGATAAATTTAACTGACTTCAAATTCAACAATGTCTATGTTTATGTCTATGTGCGTTTTATTCAATGGGCTTTTTTGGTTGTGCTATTTTTTCAGTAGAGTAGCATCGAAGTATGTTTTTTAGTATTGAATTTTAAGCGGTGTGCGCTCGTGTATGTCTGCCCTTTTTATTGCAGCCAATCGCACAACGTAGTTCATCATTAGGTTAGTTGAGAGCGGTGCCATTGGTTCTGCATGCATTATGCCAGAACCAATGATTACAGTTTATAATTTTCACATTCATACCAATATATGTTTATATATGTGTGTGTGCGTGTGTGAGTATGTATGTACGTACGTATGTATGTTTGTAAATAAATAAATTTGCAAATCAAATCACCCAGTCCGTCTGATTCATTGGTCAATTGTAAAATTTTAACAATCATAAAGTACTATTTTCACGTAGGAAAAGGAATAAGACAATTGAGAGGTTTAGAAAGAAATCACAGATAAATAAAACTGGCTAATAAGCTACCGTCACTTGTCCGAATAGACTGTATTAATGCCTCCGATGATAATACAGTGCATCAAGGTAACATGATGCAAATTCACTCAAATGACGTTTTAGCTAATGCTAGATCTGAGTCATTGGATAATACAGTGCATCAAGGTAACATGATGCAAATTCACTCAAATGACGTTTTAGCTAATGCTAGATCTGAGTCATTGAGTGTTGACGATGAGGATAAAGATGACGTTTTTGATGTAATTATAAAGCTAAGAAAAAAACTACTTGCTTCAGATAGTGATAGATTTATACAACATGTTAGTGAGCCGTTATGCATCGTTTCATATTCATACAAACAGGTTGAAGTTGCTAAACGAACCAAAAAAAAAGAACATTGCCAGTGTTGTATTTTGATTCGACAGGATCGGTGATAAGAAGGACCAGCTCATAGCAGAAGAAAATTTTTTATTACACTGGTGTTATTTCAGTAAATAATAGAATAATTCCAATGATCGACTTTGTAACATGTAGGCACGACGAGTAGCACGTAAGTCAAGTAAGTACTTATTGACTATAAGCACTACGTCTCAAAAAATTGAAAGAATGGCCTTGGTATTCGAATGTTGTAACCGATTTTTCTATGGCCCTTATTGAGGCTGTTTTGAAAGGATTTAACACGATGGAAATTCCGACGTATTTGCAATATGCAATGAAATGGGCAACCAGTGACGTCATTCCTATTAAAATTGTACAAGTGAAATTGTGTTGTTGTCATTTTATTAAAAACGTAACCAGAGAGACGCTTAAACACACTAAATTTAAACCGGATTTTAGTTACCATTTTACATACGTTAAAAAAATACTCAAATTTACGGTTATGTTGAAAATCAAAAAATAACACCAAGCAAATAGTTAATTAATTTAAATATATAAATAAGTTGTGTGATATGCCAAATTCTGTTATCAAAGATCAGCTTATAACTTATGCATAACCCATGTTATAGCATAAAGAAAATTGACCAGCTCACCTCACAACTAGTGATGTTGTTATTATGTGCCATGTATGCACGTGCACACTTGCACAGCTTATAATTTATGCAAAACCCATGTTATAGCACAAAGAAAATTGTCCAGCTCACCTCACAATTAGTGATGTTGTAATTATGTGTCATGTATGCCTAGCCTAACCTTTAACATACCATGTTCTTAAATTACGCGCTTATGTCTATATATATAAATAATATGTAGCTATATGATCCATTATATACAATTATATAGTATATACACGTGCACAAGTTCTTTTACACAAAGATCAGCTCATAATTTATGCATAACCCATGTTATAACATAAAGAAAATTGTCCAGCTCACCTCACAATTAGTGATGTTGTTATTATGTGTCATATATGTTTAGCCTTTAACTTATTGACGTAAAATTAATTGAATTCAATAAAAAAATTTTCTATTTATAACATTTTTAAATGTTGATAGACGCTTAAATTCGGCCACCAAATCCGGCCGGGGCCGGATTTAAAAAAAGCCGGATTTTAACCGGGGCCAAACGTCGGTGCATTCCTAATTTCAAGTATATGTAGTTGATATAAATTTTTCAAATTATTTATTTATTGCTAATGATTAACAAATAGAATTGAGTTTCTATAACTGTTAACTATCAATCAATCAATTAGCTTATAAAGCGCTATTTCCGCGATGTTCAACAGCGCTCCTCAATGAATTTTGAAAACAGATGGGTCTTGAGATCCGCTCTGAACTTTGCAAGTGATGGAGAAGTAGTCAGAGAAGTAGGTAGAGAGTTCTAGAGAAAAAGACCAGAAAAAGCAAAAGCAGATTTAGCAAAAGAGTGTTTAACACGAGTTAAGAAAAAACGAGATTATCGAAGACGATCGTAAACAGGGGCATTTAGGTTCAATTAATATATCTGATAAATACTTAGGAAATAATTTAGATTGAGACTTATACATGAACGTGCAAATTATAAAAATTATTCTATATTTTATAGGTAGCCAGTGCAAGAGAACAAGATATGGAGATATATGAGAAAAGAAAGGGCACGAGCAACTAGACGAGCAGCAGAGTTAAAAACTTTATTTAAAGGATAGAGTATAGAGTCAGGTAGGCCATAGTAGAGCTAGTTACAATAATCAATCCTAGATAAGACTAACGAAGTAACAAGAAGGAGAAGAGTAGGATCATCAAGAAAAGGCAAAAGTATTTTTTAATCGTTATTGATTTAAAAAAATGCATTGTGTGTTCATTGTGTATGTTTTTCTACAAATACAGCAGAAAAATAATAATTATTATCTAATATTTACACCACACAAAATTTAATTTACTAATAAATAATAGAAATTAATAGGATTATCAAATACACACAACTACAGTATTATATATTTTTATAGCATCGATATATAACTATATAACTATATAATTATATATACATGTATATATGCATACCTGTTAGCTGCCACTTAACAGCATATAACATATAACATGATATAACATATATCGCATATGCATGCAGGCTTGCTGTACCCTCTCTCTTTTACGTTTATCTCTTTTTTAACGTGTGTATAATTGGCTTTTCAACGTGCGTATAGTTGGCATCGAAGATTGCTTATAAAATTATATAGGTCGGTCATTGTGGCTAAGTTCAGTCTCATCGTCCAGTTAGAACACGCTGGGTTTTTGTAGGCATCGATACGCAAACAAAAGATGCCTTTCTGGTGGAAGTAAATTAACGAGATGCTGTTGCCATTGATACAGCGACATGTTCTGCCCGGTTGGTTTCATAAAGTTTAATATTTTTGAATTCATTTTTGTTGGTTATGAAATATAGTTAGATTTTAATAATTTTAGGTACAACAGTTTGGACGGATCAATGGGCTGCTTATAACAGTATAACAGCCGTAACCGGTCTAGCCCACCAAACCGTAAATCACTCCATTACATTCCGGGCCGTAAACGGAGTGCATACAAAATTACAATAGGAATTACAAATGGAGTGGAGAATTTGTGGCGATGCGCCAAACAAAAATTTAACTACCTTTGCGTGCTGTATACTGATAGAAAGGTAATGATTTATTAAATTAAATAATTTTTTTGTGATCCGAATGCCCCAACCTTAACCTTACATAACTTAACACTACAGTTAATTAACTTTAACTTAACTTTGTTAATATTTTAATTTATTGTATAATATTTTAATTTATTTTATAGTATCATAACTTAGACAAAAGAATAAATAAAAAATGGATTCTTCGAATGATTATAACTTAGCTTTAACTTTGTTAATATTTTAATTTATTGTATAATATAATATTTTTATATAATAATATTATATATAATATAATGTATAATATAATATTTTTAATTTATTTTATAGTATCATAACTTAGACAAAAGAATAATTAAAAAATGGATTCTTCAAATGATTATATTTATATTAACAAGCGTACTTTATCTAGACACATAAAGAGGAAAGTGGAAGATTTTTTTAATAAAATTCCTATGGAAGAAACAAATGTAGCATCATTAGTTGATCAAAATAACAAGCAAGATTTCACTACTAGGAACATCAATAATATTGATGCTAATGAAAATTATGAGAGGTACAACGATCAGCTAGAAGAATCTTTTAGTCTGCCATCAAAAATATTAAAATTCCAAGATACTGATAATGCTAATGATAAAAGCTCCAGTTTGTTTAATAGCGAAAGTTCTGATAATACAGAAATTTCAAGCTTATTAACCAGCACGTCATCATCTAGCAACCTAAGAACTTTCAAAGAGCATCTAGCTACATGGGCAGTACAATATGTGGAAAAGGTGAAAGAAATAAAGGCACCAACACCTCCAATGTCTCTTACCGGCATGCCATCAGCACAAGGTACCTCAAAAAACAAACGTCCATCTGAAGTAATTTATAGTTCAGTGTGTAAAAGACAAAAAATATCAAACAAAGTATCAAACACCAACAGTTACACAAGCCATGATTTGTAACACAAATGGTTCGTTAGTAAATCATTCATTTTTTAATTTATTTAGTTGATAATTTTTAAATTATATTGAGTTATATTAAAATATTTATAATAAATAGGGCTGTACCGAATTTGAAATATCAAATTCGGCCGAAGCCGGATCCGAATTTGAATGTCAAATTCGGCCGGAGCCGAATTCGAACATTAGTTAGCAATGACTCATTCATGGTTTATTTTGACTTAGTCGATCACCTTGTAAAACTTAGCATGTGAAGCAAATATCACATTGAATTATAAACTATTCAAATCTGTTATTTTTCAAGTTTATTGTAGCTGCCAATTTAAAAAACAAACACAAATTAAAAAAAAATTAAGCAGACATTTGAATTAACATGATATTATAAATAAACACAGTATAGATTTCTTGAGTTATTTATTAAACAGAAAAATTAATAAAAACATAAAAATGCAAATAGCTGAAACCATTATTTTTAAAATAAATTGTTAATCATTTTTAATCAGATTCTTGTTATATTTTAAAAAAATAAGTTTAGAAGCATTTTCTGGAAGAAGTGAACTACGATGATCACTGATCACTTCACCTGCTACACTGAAAAGGCGCTCAGATGGTACACTAGTTGGCGGGGCACTGCAGCCAAGCTAGGAAACCTTTTATGATTCATTTTCCACCAAAGCAAAGGATTTTCAGTTCTTGGTAATAGAGGTTCCAACAAATATTTGTCAAGCTCACTCTCAATTGTTTCAGCTTGTTGTTGTTGTATATTTGCTTCAGAAGATTGCACAATTTCTTCCATACAGTCCCACAGCGCAGAAGTATGATCCTTTTCTAATCTTATTCGTTTAGCTACAGTTGATTTTTCTTTTGCATCTGCTTCTATATTAGCTAAAATTTGGTCTTGTTGAACATTGTTTTTTATTTTGCCATTTGCCAGCACGAGACCAAATTTTGCTGTTGAGAAGACATTTGTATTGAAAAATTTGTTTTTGAAACGAGGATCAATCAACGTTGCTACTATGTAGGGGAGACGGGGGCCGAATGGACCGCTTTTTTTTGTCGCTCACTAAATATTTTTTCTTTGCTCAACAAAATCAGCTATCGCTATTTTAATAACTGATCTTGATTTGTCATTATCTTGCACAGTTGACGGTATTTTTTTAATATTTCCAAATAACGTAATTTTTTTATAATTTAATTTTTAAGGTGGGTTGTTCCAATTTTTTTGGTGGTCCATTCGGTACAATAGCGGTGTACTGGATGGACCGGGTAAAGTACCAAATGGACCATTAAAGAATAGCAACAAATTCATGGAAATAAACACATTTGAAGTATTTTTAATTGAAACAAAAATTGAAATAATAAGATTATTCATGTATGCAAAATTCGCAAATGTAATCAACTGCACTAGAAACACTCGTGCAGAGCTCGTGAGCCCACTTGGCACAATTTCTGCAACGAAACCACATTTCGTTGTCTCGGCCAGCCTCACCACACATGACGCATATGTCCTTCTCAGCATATAATTGTCTTTTAATTTTATTTTTTTTTGTTACTCTGTTGCTCTCTTCGGATATTTGATTTTTTTTATTTTGTTGCAATTTCCTTTTGTTCATGATGGGACGTTTTTTTATCTCTTCACGAGTTTGCTGCACGCGAAGCTCTTCTTTAACTGGGGTGTCGGTTAACACTCTGGAAGTTAATTTCTTACGTTTAGTTTTACGTACCTGACGAGCTGGAGCTTTGGATAC